TGTCTTCAGACAAAATATATTACAGTCTTCTGTTTTCTGGTCTCATGGTTTGGGACTAGAAGTAAGCCTCCACTTCCTTCAGGAGGATCTTTCTACTTGCTATTCAGGTATGGATGAAATTTGCAAATGCCTTGTGTGTGTGTGTGTGTGTGTGTGTGTGTGTGTGTGTGTGTGTGTGTGTGTGTGTTTACTCCAATTCTTCAGTTAGAATCAGATATTGTATAAGAAACAGACCCAAAATAAAGTTATTTACATAAAAGAGCAGATTATTTTTCTTGGTTAAGGTGCAGAGGTAGACGGTTCCAAGTTGGTGGTGTTTCTGTCCACAAAGGCCTCGGGGGCCCAGACTCCTTCTATCTTGTTGCTTTCCTATAAGGCTCTGAAGGTTGAATTATGATCCAAAATGCACATCTTCATTTCACATCTGCATTTCAACCAACAGGGGGGATGGAAAAAGAAGACAAACTTAAGTCTGTTTTATAGAAGACAAACTTATCTGTTTTTTTAAGGATGGCTGCCACAACTTGCCACATTCTCCTATAGCCCTGCCAGCACTTACTCACCAGGTCACAGCTTAGGTGCAAGGGAGTCTGAAAAATATTGTCTCTATTCTTGGTGGCAATGTGCCCAGCTATAAAAAAGTTATTCTATTACTTAAAATTTGAGGGTTCTATCACTATGAAAAAAGAGATGGGATATTGAGGGACAGCCAGCAATCTTGGTCATCCTCTCCCCTATTAAACTTAGTTCACCTGAGCCAAATAAGAAATTCTTTTGAGATTGAATTCAATGCATTAAATCTCAGTGAGGATATGAACAGATTTCATAGAGCTGATAGAATCAGAGGGAAAAATAGTCATTAATTAAAAATCGTATCCTAAATCAGTCTGTGTGTACTCCAATTATGCCAGACTTTAGGGATATATCTCTGGTTGGGGCATAAGTAAATACACACAAATATGAATTTTACAACTGATAGACTATCTAAGGATTTCCTGGGAATGAATACAAGATGACGGTTTTTGTCACTTTGACCCTATAAGGTATTGATTTTATGTATATAAACATAAACATTTAAATCAAAATTATACTTCATCAATGATTTTCATCAATAAAGTATTTTCTGGAGCAAATTTCATTATGCTAATTTAATGCCATAATCAATTTATATTACATATAAACTGTTATACATTTATATAACTGTTTCTATTTTTCTAATTTGCTAAAATTCTTTTCACTCGAATCAACTGCAGTTCCTCTACATGTAAACTTTACCTTGAAGCTATAATTCAGTATAATTTTTTCTCTTCATGAAAAATGATAGTCATCAGAGTTTCTGACATTATGAGCTTTCATTTGTGGTTAATTAACCAAGGCCAGTTTTTTTTTCCTGCTCAAACTTTATAGATATAAATCTTGTCAAGAAGTTTTGATTGTTCCATCAATTTCAACAAATAACAAATTTGCACAATGTCTGTGCTTCTTAGTGTTTCCAGTTTTCATTGTTACCAATCAGCAGTTATTTTTCAGTTATTATTCTATAACAACGGTGTCCAGTTTTAGCCACTGTTAATATAATTTTATGTTGATTATTTCAATCAAGTTCAGTTTTTCCTGTCAATTTGGTCACAATATCCAAGCAGAAACAACAACAACAACAACAACAACACAAACACCAAAAACCTTAAAATTCCAGGCAATTTCTGATATGTTTGGTGGCTATATAAAACAGAATTTCACAAATGGAACAGATCTTAGTAATCATCTAATTTAATTCTCTAATTTTACGAGTGAGAAAACTGAGGTTCCCCTAGAAAGATAATGAAGGCTTGAGCAAGTGCCATCGTTAGTAAGGATGGAGATAATGGGCAGATGTGATACATGTTGATTGCACTGTGTGGTGAGGAAGAGGAACAAGCCTGGGATGATCCTGGATTTCAGACTTGGGTGACGGGATGGATACCAGTGCTATTTTTTTTTTTTT